GACACTCCAGCATCACCAGCCAAGCCCCCAAGATTATCACTGAGAAGAAGCCCCCCCCCCCTCCCAGCCACCACCCACATACACACAAGCACCATCTCCTGGGACGCCCCAGTCCTGCCCCCTACCAAACCCCAAGAGGGAAAAGTTCCCTCCTGGGGGTCCTGATGCTACCCACAGTACCTCTTGGCAAGGAGGAGATGAGAAGCAGCTGCAGGAAAGTGAGCCCCAGCTGCGGCCACCAGCCCAGCTCCATCGTTCCGCGGTGGTGCCCGGAGCGACTGCCGGGGAGGGACCGAGGGAGGCCGGCGGGCAGGCGGCTCTTACACGGACCTCCCCAAGTCCCAGCCGAGCGGGAGCTCGGGTTTCAGCTCGCCAGGCTCTCCCATCCTCATCCGAGGGGAACCACCTTCAGCCAGAGCGACGTCAGCCCAAACCTCTCCTCTCCGCGGCTGCCTTAACCCTTGCGGGGCCCGGGGAGGTGTGGCCGCGCGGAGAGGCCCCAGGCTGTGGCTGGAAGGGAAGCTGCGGGGCACGGAGGCCAGCCCAGGTCAGGCTGGGCTGCCTCAGCGCGGTGAGGGGTGGGGAGCAGCCCGCAGTACCCTGAATGGGAGCGGAGGTAGACGGGGCTGGGGGCCGCTCAGGTGAGGCCTGAAGCACCTGCCCCCAACACCCTCACCCACACCCCGAGCCTGGGATGGGAGGTCCACTGCCTGCCTTCACTGCGCACACTGAGTCTGCTAGATTAAAAGCCTGCCTTCGAGGGGGAGGGGGCGCACTGGTGACGTGAGGAGAAAAGCAGCCAACCTGCCTCCCCCTCCACCTGTATCCCCAAGTCTCCTTCCTACCTGGAGCATTTGCCCCAGGTGATCACAGTTTGGAAATCTTAGCCTTTGCCTCTACAGGCTTCTGGGCAAATTCTTCATCTTCCCATGGTGCCCATTATGGTAAGTTCAGCAGCATAAAAGCCCCTGCACACATGCTAGGCAGGGTATTGGGCTCAGGGATCAAAGAACATACAGGATATTGCCTCCATTCTGAGGACGTTCAGTCTAGGTACAGAGATAGCAAATGACATGTTGAAGTGAGGAGGAAGGATGCTTTACAAGATAATAGCTGACATTTTTTAATCAATTTCTCTGTGCCAGGCATCTGAGTACCTTACATGTATTAACTCATTTATTCCTCACAATAAACCTATCATCTCTGGGACTTCCCTGGCAGTCCAGTGGTTAAGGGTCCCCACTTCCACTGCAGGGGGTGCAGGTTCGATCCCTGGCTGGGGAACTAGGATCCCACCTGCCACGAGGCATAGCCAAAAATAAATAAATTAATTAATTAAAAAATAAATAAACCTATCATCTACATCTTACAGATAGGGAAACTGAGTCATTGAGAGTTCAATAGCTCATCCAAGGTCAGGCAGTAAGTGGCAGAGTCAGTAGGAGAAGGGGGTGTTGGGCCCAAAGCCAAGTCCCAGGAAGAAAAGTCACCCTGGTGTCCAGACTGAGGGATGCAGGAGGCCAAGGCCCGCCTAGAGAGAACAGCTGGAACTATGGAGTAATGCCTGGACTAAGGAGCCAGCCGTGGAAGCTGAAGGGGAAAATGATGGGAGAAACTTGGCGAAGGTAGAATCCCAGGACTCAGGACAGACTAAATGGGTAGGAGCCCTGACACAGGTGCTCCTCTCAGGGAGACATTCCTAAGTCCCAGCCCTGCTTCTGGGGCCCATTGCAGCCAAAAGATTGGGAACAGCAGTCAAACCCTTGACTCACCACTAACTCTCTGAATCTCAATTTTCTCATCTGTCACATGGAAATAATAATCAAATCTACTTTGTGGACTGTTTGGAGAATTTAATGAGATTATATACATAAAGCCCTTAGCACAGCATCTAGCTCACTCTCAATGCTTCATAGATATAAATCATTGTCTGTATTATCAGTCTGAGACTGATCCCAAGGGCATCCCGTGGTATGCGCCTTCTCCCTCACCCTCAACTTCTCTATCCAGGTGAAATTTGTTTAAAACAAGCATCAAAAATAAACTTAAAAGGGGGGAAAATGCCAAAGGGCAGCACACCTAGGGGGTAGAGGGAAGAAGTTAGAAGAGGAGAGGTTTACTTTGTTGCTGGTCAACCAGCTCTAGTCCTTTGGTAATGGGAGTGGGGAGGTGGTGACTTAGTTTCCAAATAACTGTAGGTATTAGAGCCTCTCAGGAATCTGTTTCTCCCATCAGCTGACAATGCTACTTCCTTCTTCCCTTGTCTCCCCTCACCTACACACACAAACACACCCTCCCGGAGTCATACCCAGCAGCCTCTCTCTACAGCAATTTACCCCACTAGGGTGGAGCCCCAGGTGATAAACATGACTGACAGCTCCCTAAGGAAGTCCCTGGTGCCAGGTCTTTGCTTCTCCAGGCTTAGGGGGCTGGAAACAGGCCCTCACATCTGTCTTTGGAATGCCCACAGGAGTAATTGGGCCCTACTAGTTTGTTGTCACTAATTTGGGTTTGCAAACTTCCTAGGGCTATGGAACCTGGAAAGGAATTCTCAGAAAGGAGCAGGACACATTCTTCTGGGGAACTGAAAGCAGTGATGAGATATTACCTTGTTGAACTTGACAATAAACATGGGCTGGTAGAAGAAGAGGGAAGCTATGACTATGATACAAAAAAGGTCAGTAATTTGTCTGAGTTCATACAACTCTACATAAATTTCCATTTTCCTACCCAAATTTAGCTTCCTCTCTTCCCATTATGGTCAAATCAGTTTTTCATATTGATAGAGTTTAGTATTATTCTAAGTCAGGATTCTTGACCCAGGTTCCATGGGGTCTATTGGGAGGAGAGTTTCACATGGCCTTTGAACCTCTGGAAATGATATGCAAAACTTTGCATGCAGTTTTTGGAGTAAGAGGGAGCCATGGCCTTCTTCAAAATCTCAAAGGGATCTGCAAAGTCCCAACTTTTGAAGAATCACTGATCATCGTAAGTTAACACTGAAAAATTCACCAAGTATCTGTTGGGTTAGGGGAAAGTGGTTTGGGACAGACAATTGTTGAATCTAGGCTATAAGCTGCACAATGGGACCCTTGTGCAGGACCCTCCCTCCCTCTTTTTGTAGGACCCTCCTACAAAGGAGGAGGACCCTCCCTCCTCTTTGTAGGACCCTCCTACAAAGGTCCTCTTTGTAGGACCCTCCCTCCCTCTTTTTCTATTTCTGCCTTAAGAGCTCTTGCTCTGGGTCATATTGCCTAGTGTTGAATCCAACTGGACCACTTACTACATATGTACACCTGGGCAGGTTATTTCACCTATGATGGCTGTAGTTTTCTCACCTGTTAAGTAGAGAGAATAATGGTACCTGTCCCCATAGGGTTGGAGTAAAGAGCTCAGAACAGTGCCTAAAATATACTAAGTACTCAGGAAACATTAGCTATTTTTATTATGATTCTCTCCCCCTCCTGCCCTCACTTTCTACACCCACTTCTGGGAGGAATCAATCATTACAAACGCTATGGGTGAAAGAGGCAAAGTGCCATGCTGGGAAGTAGGGAACAATACCTGGAATTAAGAATTATCTACTTATAGGGCTTCCCTGGTGGCGCGGTGGTTGGGAGTCCGCCTGCCGATGCAGGGGACGCGGGTTCGTGCGCCCCGGTCCGGGAAGATCCCACATGCCGCGGAGCGGCTGGGCCCGTGAGCCATGGCCCATGAGCCATGGCCGCTGAGCCTGCGCGTCTGGAGACTGTGCTCCGCAACGGGAGAGGCCACAACAGTGACAGGCCCGCATACCGCAAAAAAAAAAAAGAATTATCTACTTATAATCAACACTCAGAAATCAACAATTGGCTGTAGTAGATGGAGTGGGGCCACCCATTTAATTACAAGTCACAATCCCCTCTAATTTTCACATGAAAGGATGAGGCACTCTAAAAAACCTGAACCTTTTTCAATGCCGTGGGAGGCTGATTGCATGTGAATACACAGAAAGAAACCGCAGAGAAGGCTGTCCTGTGAATGCCAACAGCTCCCCAGTCTCCAAACTACATCTTTTTCATATCAGCACCTAAGCAGCAATCATAGAGAGGGCAAGCCAGAGTAAAGAGCTGGGGTGATACAGGCCTGCAAGCCTGAGAGAGGCATCCCAGAGCACTGGTCAGCAGTGTGGTCAGTAAGTGTGGTTTTCATCAGCGTACGAAACACAAAGTTCAAGTCAACCGAGGCCAGAGATGGAGAAGGGGAGGTCTGTGGAAAAGACAAAGGGTCCTTCCACCAGAGCCTGCTCTAACTGGCCACACCATGGAAGTCTCCAGCCCTAATGAATCCCGGCTGTTCACCTACACAACGAGCCCCAATGTTCCACCTCCAGGGCTGGCTCAGCTCCGCTCCCTTTCCATTGGGAACCAGGCAAAGGGGTAGGTGAGTCTGTCGTTCTTTCTTTAACCACATTCTTCTTGCTCTATGTCATTCATCATGGAAATTGCTAAAAGTGGGCACACTTCCCTCCTTCATAGTCAATGTGCTCCTGAATCACTTGGGGAAACCTATTCTTAACTTTTTTTTTTTATTCTTAACTTTTATATGTGTATTTATACACTTCAAATTAAAGCAAAACGTCTGCCATGCCACGGAACTGCAAAGCTTTACGAAGAACACTGGCAAAAACTGTGACCCCGATCCAAGTGGCTAACTCAACAATTACATGCATTTGAGCCATTTACGATGAGGAAGGGACCAAAAAATAGAATAACTCCAAGGAAAGGCAGCAGGGTACAGTGGCATAAAAAAGGCAACAGGGGGCTTCCCTGGTGGCGCAGTGGTTGAGAGTCCACCTGCCGATGCAGGGGACACGGGTTCGTGCCCCGGTCCAGGAAGATCCCACATGCCGCGGAGCGGCTGGGTCCGTGAGCCATGGCCTCTGAGCCTGCGCATCCGGAGCCTGTGCTCCGCAACGGGAGAGGCCACAGCAGTGAGAGGCCTGCGTACTGCAAAAAAAAAAAAAAAAAAAGGGCAACAGGCCCCAGAGTGGATCGAGGCTCTACTACCTACCGGCTGTATGAACTTGGGTAAGTTCATTGGCCCCTCTGAGTCTCAGTGTCCTCATCTATAAAAGGGAGGTAATAGCTACCTTATAATTCTGGTGAGATTAAAATGAGGCTGGCATACATAATGGTAGCTCAGTCAAGGTTGACTGTTGTTATAACTATGCATGAACATCTACTTTTAGAGTTTCATTTCAAAATGAAACTAAGTAGGTACCATTTTCCACAGGTCTGGTGATATAAGTTAGGTTATGTTCCTATATTGATTTGCAGCCAATGCATGTGTGAAGAATATATTGTCTTGTATGTTTATGCTTCCAGTTGGAAGTCTAGGGATAGAGTCTGCATTTGTTCAAAGACAAATCGAGAGGCCTGTCTTGAGTAGACCCAGTCCAAGTGCTGAAGAAAAACTTATTCTGATGTTCGTTAAAGACTGTAAGGAAGATTTTATTCAAGGGACTGCAGCAATGGGTGTCTGCAGGAAGCAGGGGAGATTGGGCTCAACTCTGAATAAAACAAGCAAAAGTGAGGATTTATCACCAAGGAGCAGGGTGCGGGGTCAGTGGATGGAAAAGTACTAAGAGGAAACATTAGGAATAAGGGGGCATACTGGCTAATCTGATTTAACAGGATTCTTCCTGAAAGCACGTCAGGGTGATCAGATATCAGCCAGGAGATGGTGGGGGATGAGGAACTGAATCAGACATCAAGGGTGATCAGATATCAGCGACGGGAGGTTCTCACTAAACTGACTTGGCAGGATTCTTTCTCTTGAGGACAAGCCTCAAGGAGGGGCCTGGTCAAGAAAAGGCTTACACAAGACTGACTACAGCTTGCTTAAGGAGCAAGTCTTTGTCACACAGGACCCACAAAATAGCCTGAAAGGTCCTTGCTTTGAATGTCTGGTTCAATCTTGCCACATTGTTCATTGGGATAAATAGGATTTGCATATAAAGTAACCTGTCTCCTTCCATGGAAGGAAGGAAAGGAGAAAGCACAAATACCAGGTGAAAAATCACCCATTCACTTATTCAGCGCAATGCATTGCACGTCTGCTATGTGCCAGACATCATCTCCGGTCCTTGGAGGATAGCCGTGAACAAAACCTTTGTGGTCCCTCACCTTGCAGATTCGCAGACCAGATAGCAATGAGACATTGGGCAACTGTGATGAGCAGCATGACTGAAGTTGGAACATTCCAAAAGCATGTGACCGGGAGATCCAGTCTGGTCTGAAGGTCAGAAAAATTTCCCTGAGAACGTGACACTGAACTTCAGACCTAAAGAAACACAGAGGGAAGGGAGAGTAGAGGACAAGAGATGACGAAGCCCGGGTAATAAGGAAGCTAGAGGTGCAGGCAGGCCTTCAAAACCATGAACTTGATTCTGAGGGTCACTGAAAACAACTTGAGGGCCAGTGACTGGATCAGACTTGTGCCCCAGACTCAGCTCTCTGCACCTACATCCAGTATGCAACAGGATGGAGAGAAGTGGCTTGATCTGAGAGGCACCAAGGAGGTAAAAAGGATGGGATCAGTGATTATGGTGTATATTGAGGAGAAAAGTGAGGGAGCAAAGACCACTCCCAGTTGATAACTGCGTAGATGTGGGTGGGTGCATGGTGGTGCGCTGTGTAGGACTCTCTCTCTCTCTCTCTCTCTCTCTCTCTCTCTCTCTCTCAGATCATTCACTCTGGGAGAAGTCAACTATGGAGAGTCTCACACAGAAAGGAACCGAAGCTTCCTGACAACAGTCCCATGAAGGATCTTGGGAGCCAGTTCTCCAGCCCTTCCGATGGCTGCAGCCCCAGCCAGCAACTTGCCTGTGACCTCACAAGAGTCCCCTGTGACCTCACAAGAGTCCCCTTAGCCAGAGCCACCCAGCTAAACTGCTCCCAGATCCCTGACCCTCAGAAACTAGGCAAGATAATAAATTGTGTTGTTCTGCACTGCTAAATTTGTTACACGGCAATAAATTACTACTACAAAAGATTTCTGAATTGGGCAACCTGGGGTAGAGGAGAAACAAAAACTGTCTAAACACTTGGTAAACCTGCAGCCAAATGAAAACTTCTGAGCAGCCACAGCTTAAGGACTCAACAGTGAGAAATGTCAATACAATGAGCCTATCACAGGGAAGAAGCTTTCAGTTGTGCATAACAACAAGCCCAATTCATGTGGCTTAAACAATAAGGAATTGTATTATCATGTATAACAATAAGTCCACAGATAGGACACCTCCAGAGTTAATTCTGTGGCTCAACAATAGTGTTAAATACTTAAATAGGTCCAAATTACCAACAGATACATATAGTGTGCACACATTTCTATAAAATCTTGGGACATATAAAAATAGCATGTGTTATACAGATGGCCAACAGCCACATGAAAAGATGCTAAACATCGCTAATTATTAGAGAAATGCAAATCAAAACTACGAGGTATCACTTCATACCTGTCAGAATGGCCATCATAAAAACATTTACAAACAATAAATGCTGGAGAGGGTGTGGAGAAAAGGGAACCCACTTGCACTGTTGGTGGGAATGTAAATTGGTACAGCCACTATGGAAAACATTATGGAGGTTCCTTAAAAAACTAAACATAGAGCTACCATGTGATCCAGCAATCCCATTCCTGGGCATATATCCACAAAAGATGAAAACTCTCTAATTCGAAAAGATACGTGGACCCCAATGTTCATTGCAGCACTATTTACAATAGCCAAGACATGGAAGCAACCTAAGTGTCCATCAATAGATGAATGGATAAAGAAGATGTGGTACATATATACAATGGAGTATTACTCAGCCATAAAAAAGAATGAAATAATGCCATTTGCAGCAACATGGATGGAGATTATCATACCAAGTGAAATAAGTCAGAGAGAGGAAGACAAATATTAAATGATATCACTTACATGTGGAATCTAAAAAATAGTACAAATGAACTTATTTACAAAACAGAAACAGACTCCAGACATAGAAAACAAACTTATGGTTACCAAAGGGGAAGGGGGGGAGGGATAAATTAAGAGTATGGGATTAACAGATACATATTACCTATATAAAATAGATAAACAACAAGGATGTACTGTATAGCACAGGGAACTATATTTAATACCTTGTAATAACCTATAATGGAAAAAAATTGAAAAATAGAATGTATATATATGTATTCAGTTATGTATATACTAACCAAATCACTTTGCTATACACCTGAAACTAACACAATATTGTAAATCAACTATACTTCAGTAAAAAAAAAATAGCATATGTTGTTTGTGAATAGAAACACATATCATTAAACTACTAAAACATAGTTAGAAATGACATACACTACCTTCAAGGCAGGAGTTACCACTGAAAGGGAAGCGCGTCACAAAATGTGAGCTATGAAATTTTAGCTAAAAAATAAAACAAATGAAGGAGAAATTGAAGCAACTGAAGGCAAACGTTAACATCTGTCTATCTCTGAGGCTAGTGCATAGGGATCCGTTATTGTCTGGAATTTTTTTGCATGTCTGGATTATTAATAATTATATTTATAGTTCTATAAAATAGCTACAAAAAATGTAAGAAGGGGACACATTGGAAAATATTTTAATGGACAGAGAAGACAAGCATTTATTCTTAAGAAAACCTTTTGAAAGAATGAAATAATGTCATTTGCAGCAACATGGACGGACCTAGAGATTATCATACTACCTGAAGTAAGTCAGAAAGAGAAAGACATACCACATGATATCACTTATATGTGGAATCTAAAATATGACACAAATGAACTTATCTACAAAACAGAAAGACTCACAGACATAGAGAACAGACTTGTGGTTGCCAAGGGGTGGGGGGAGGGATGAGTTGGGATTTGGGGATTAGCAGATGCAAACTCATATACAGGATGGATAAACAACAAGGTCCTACTGTATAGTACAGGGAACTGTATTCAATATCCTGTGATAAACTATAATGGAAAAGAGTATAAAAAAGAAAGTATATATGTGTATAACCGAATCACTGCTGTACAGCAGAAATTAACACAACACTGCAAATCAACTGTACTTCAATAAAAAAAAGAAAAGAAAATATTTTGAGTGTCTCCTACATGTCAAGAACATTCTAGGCTATGGGGAAAGCATGGTGAACAAGAGAGAATGACTTGTTTTCATGGAGTTTGCATACTACTGGGCAGAGATATATCACAAACAAATAACAAAGAGGAGATCATATGGAAGGGCTCAGTGCTAGAAATGAAACAGAGAAGTATGCTAGGGGTGACGGAGGAAGGTACTTTCGTTTGCAGAATCCAAGCTTCTCTCTGAGAAGCTGACAGTTAAGCTGAATGCATCTGAGGAAAGGGCATCCCAGGCAGAGGGAACAGCTAAGACAAAGGCCCTGAGTTGGGAATGAGCTTAGAGTGCTTGAGGAACACAAAGGAGGCCAGTGTAGCTGGCACACAGCTCTTTAGAAAAGAGGGAACATGAAAGGGGCCAGGAGAACATGCTGGGATGACCAAGTGAATTCACACCGCTGTCACGCTACCTTCTGGGCATCAGGGAATTCTTTGAAAATTTAGTGAAAAGCTATGGATTCTAGAAACATACACACATATTGATTTTTGCTTACAGTTTCAGGATATGCGTGGACCCTCTGAAGCCTACCCAGAAATGACCTAATTGCAGCATTTGAACTCAAGCCACATTATTCCCAGTTGGTGAGGGTATGGGCGCCTGGCCATTTCTACCCAATGCAGGACTTCTCCATAGGTAATATTTGCACTAGAGTTCCCTACCACGCTGACCAAGAAATCCTGAATGCCGTTCCAGTCTGAGGGTCTCCTACCCCATCCTCCTGTGTTTCCCCTGGCTTTTCACCATGTCAGACCCGCACAGCAGTTTGAAGGCTCTCCCTGCCTACTCTTGCCTCTCTCCCCTTTATTTTTCACGGGCTCTACAACCAAGAATTCTGTCTTGCACTTCTAACTTAGCCTGGTGTCTGCTTCTTAAAGGAACCAACCAACATAACTGATACTGGGAATAATCAAAAACAAGAGGTGATAAGAGGGAGTTTGCGTTCTAGATCACTTGCCACACAGCTGGCAAGGAAGGCCCCATCCCAAATGGTACCTGAGGTATAGATAATCCTGGCACAAGGTGGCAACCCAATTGCTAAAAATTTCACAGGTGATTACTTGGAAGGACCTCCTGGTGGAAGGGAATGCCTGGGCTGGTATGAAGATTCAGGTGTTTGCACATTATGGAAGAATAGCACATTTAAGGACAGTAGAAACAGCTGGTTACTGAGTTGATTTGATGCCTACAGAGGGATAATGAGAAACTAAGGGCAATTAACAAATTTAAATACTAAGTGTGAAAGCCAGTGGTCCTCTTTTGTAGTTCCTGCAGTAGGAGAGTGGACCGAGAAGCAGACTCAGGTTCCGATGTTTATAGTCACCAGGGTTCAAAGAGAGTGGAATGCTTTGTCACCGCCACTCTACTATGCAAAGATCAGTGCCCTGCCTGGGAAAACCTGAACTCCTGAACATGAGATTGAGTCATCTGGATGGATGCCCCCAAAGACTGTGGTTCCATTGACTTCCCTGAATCCTCTGAGCCTTCAGAGACGGCTCATCTGTCCCTATTAAGAGCTAGAACTCCTTCCTGTGGGAAGATACAACATGGGCCTCCCCATTGCAAGAAAACAGGTGTCCTCCTCAGGACTTTCTCGCAGACCTGTCCTGGCTGTCAGGCCAGAAAATAGGGTTAAATTCCAGCATATTCCCAGTGTAGAACATAAGGAAAGAGACAAATCCCAATGGAGCTGCAAGAATTAGGTAGCACATACCAGCATGAGCCAGGGGAGTACCCATGGGATTGGATTTTGAGGGTGCTTGATTAAGGAGTACAGGACATAAGAATGGACAAGCAAAAGTTCATTTACTTTGGAGTACTCTTCAGGAACATGGATTTAACGCCTTGGCAAGAACCCTAGGGTATAGGCAAATTTGCTAGTAGGTAACTCTTAAAGACATGGAGAAAAAAACAGCCCATTCTGGGACTTCCCTGGCAGTCCAGTGGGTAACACTCCAAGCTCCAAATGCAGGGGGCCCAGGTTTGATCCCTGGTTGGGGAACTAGATCCTGCATGCATGCCACAACTAAGAGTCCACATGCCACAACTAAGAAGTCCGCATGCTGCAACTAAAAAAAAAAAAGATCTCGCAAGCCACAATGAAGATCCCACGCGCCACAACTAAGACCCAGTACAGCCGAAATAAATCAAAAAAAAAAAAAATAGCCCATACTGACCAAGTGGTAATGCCCAAGGTACCATGGAAACTAGTGGGATTAAATGGCTCAGGGAACTAGGCATGCTGAATTGGATATATTACATGAGGACAGAAGACACATCAGAAATTTTGTTCCATGGAAGGACCTAGAGAACGCGCTATTCATGAAGGCCATCAAGAACATGCTGATGGGATGAATATTAGCATCACTAAGACATTAAGTGGTGGCTTTCCTCTACAGGCTAGGATTGACTATAGGGAATATGTCACAGAACTTGGCTTACTAATAGCAATGGGAATGATAAGTCCTCAAAGCAAAAGAGTCCAGATGATGGTTATTAATCACCAGAAATGAGGGGGCCCCACAATTACTATCACAACCAACAAGATTGGAGGGGCAGCCAAGGGGGCTTGACCCACAAGGAATTGTGGATATGGTTAGTAGAACATGGGATCCCCTAGGGACAAAAGGCACAGGCAGACAAAGAGGGTGCTGCTTAATATATACAATCCAAAAAGGCAAGAATGAATGAGCAGGAGGCTGGAGGTGGTCACTTCAACAGAAGTCATGAACTTTGCTCAATCCCTGGACCTGAGCCAGTTTTCACCTCCAGACTCTGTTGGCTACAGAGGTGGCTGGGTCCCCAAAAGGAAGTACACAGCAAC